CTCCGTAAACCCTAAACCCTAAACTCCTTAAACCCTCAACCCTAAACTCCGTAAACCCTTAACCCTAAAACCCTGAACCCTAAACCCTAAACTCCCTAAACCCTAAACCCTTAACCCTAAACTCCCTAAACCCCTAAACCCCCTGCAGTCACTTTGCCTTGAAAGGAACGGCAATGCGAAGAAGGCTTCCTGATCTCCCGCAGTGTTCTGAGACTTACGGGGGGCTTAGTAGGGAATGAGGGAATAGAGTCCCAAAAAAGTAGTTTCCCGAAATAGAGGAACCCCAATATAGACCCCAAAATACTACCATCCTTACATGGGCACCCCTAAAATGGTACCCCTAATTTTGGGAAACTTCCACATAATCTCTCTATGATATATTCCCTTATTCCCTACAAGCCCTCTGTAAGTAGAGGGCAGACAGCTGCTTCGTCATGTGCCTGGCGGAAATCATCGGTGTTCTGGGCTTGGGTTCCCAGGATTTTGGTGGTCAGGGTTTTTGGGTTTGGGGATTTGGGGTTTTCGGCTGGGCTTAGGGCTTGGGAGTTTGAGTGTTACTTGTTGGCTTTAAGATCTAGGGTTTGAAATGTGCAGGGCTATGTGTAGGCCTCAAAGCAAAGCGTTAAGGGCTTGCGGAAGCAGGCTAATAGCAACGTCTGTACTAGGAGGTGAATGGACACAAGGGAGCTCAAGCGTCATTTGAAGCCTTCCTTGCCCAGGCTGGATCGTGGCCAAATTGTTCTGAGCGCCAGTGGTGCTTATGAAGCATTTGGCTTATGGATGTCTCAGCACAGGGACCTCTTTTCCTTCCAGAGGGATATAGATGAGTAACTACATATATATATATACATAACATACGTAAACAAATATACAGATATCTAGTTATCTAGATAGCTAAATAGACAGATAGATAATACATCGGTATATATATATACACAGATATCTATATATACACCTAATGTGAATCCCTCCGTTGAGACATGGCCATTTCACCTGTCATGCAGTCTGTGCAGGCTCTTGAAGCTTACCATTGAGGCAGACAGGTTTGCGGACTTCCAGAGGAAAATAGTTTGTCCTACTTGGGGTTACTAGGGAGTAATGATTATATTATGTGGGGACTATATTGGGATTATCTTCCCTTATTCCTCACTAGCCACCAGTAAGTTGTGTGGTGCTGGGGCGCGACTTGCCCTAATTTGCACGACATCACAGCTTGCTGCAGCAACTCACCTTTGTCACCATCGCTGTGTTTGCAACTCTGAGCATTGTAGCTACTGCAATTGTTACAGCATTCTAAATGAGTTTCCCTGTTAGAAGGAAGCCTCCATCGCCATCATCGTCCTCCTCCTCATCAGTATCACCATCAGCAGCCTCATCATCCTTATCCGCCTCCTCATCATCTTATTTATCATCCTCATCATCTTTATCATCACTATACCACGAGGTCTTACTCTTGTGGGTCCAAGACTTACTGAGAGCCCTGCACATCGGTGCAGGCATGCTGCAGCTGCAGCGGCGGCACCGAAGCCTCAGGCACATGAGCTATAGTCTAAACTCCTAGTATCCCCCTTAATAACCCCTACAGTACTCCCCTATATAATCCTGCATATCCCCCCTTTAAGGAGCTTAGACTGTAGCTCACATGAGCACTCTTTCAACAAGCCATGGAAGCCCGCCAAGTCAACCGCTACGATGATCGTCACTTTCATGACTTATGTTTGCTTTCGTTACTGCAATTTCAAATGTTAGTTTCCGCAGTTATAGTTGTAGTTGCAGTTGTAGGTAGTAGTAGGCGTAGGAGGAGGCGTAGGAGAGGAGGGACGCCAACGATGACAAGGACGACGAACACCATTACCACTACTACAACTGCTGCTGCTGCTGCTGCTGCTGCTGCTGTCACTACTACTAGGTAACGGTCGCGTCTATGACGGTGTGCTTTTCTCCACCTCAACGTACTGAAACTGGGGTTCCGCGCGATTGTTGAACAAAGTTCTTCTGGAACTTGTCTGATTGATCCGCTTGCCCAATATTTTGGGTCGGAGTTGTTTGTGTGTTTTCTAATGCTTTCAGGCCTATGTTGTACGTTTGTTGAGAAATATGCGTTTTTCAAGTAGGCTTCCCGGGTGCTTTTTCTCATTATCCATCGCCCCATTAGTCCAAGGTTGTGAGGAGTTCTGATTCAATTTTATCATCGCCCCATTAGTCCAAGGTTCGCCCCATTAGTCCAATGGTGTGAGGAGTTCTGGTCTAATTTTATACTCTGTGGTCTCATTTTCCGCATGCCACGCAATGGTGCCGCTGCTTGCCACCATTGCGACCTTTCATAAGGGAGCGTTTCATCCCTGACTCTGCCTGGAGCCATTATCAACGATGCTGACATTTGAGCTTCCGCATGCTGAAACAGGTTCAACATAAAAGGCCCCAAAAAGTTCAAGGGCAACTGCGGCCATCAAAAACCCAGGAGTCCCGGAAATTACAGCGTTTTGGCTTCTACGATTCCACGAAAATGTACCCGAACGAACGTAACCGGAGCCGCCGCCTCCTCCTCCTCCTCCTACTACTATTATTATTGCTACGACGGCTACGGCCCGTGCTACTGTGCCCCCTGCTACTACTGCTGCTGCTGCT